CACGTTCAGAATGAATGACCAGTCGCCAAATTATGCGTTGAAGACCCACACCCTCGTCGATCGGGGTAATATGCGACAGACGAGGTAATTGCTTTCATGTTCAATTTTCACATTGAACCGTTGATTACTGATCATGCGAGCTCCCGTCCCAGCATAGGGCAGGATGAGATCCGTAGCCTGCTCCCCTCGAGGAATCTTAATCTTCGCTTCAAGGAATAGCCAATCGGTTGGGGCGCCAGCTTGCCTGGGAGTGATGTGGAAGACTAGGTCTTTTGGTGAATTCTGCCCGACAGAGAGCGAACCGGTGAGAGAGTCAAAGCATTGGTAATCAAATTGGATTGCAGTTGCACCCAAGGAGCTTGAAAGTGATCCGTTGTTGTGACCAGCAGCAGGCCCTATCAGGCTGCCGTCCTTCGATGATGTCTTGCTTTCTAGGTATTCTCGGTTCGCACTATCCTGATTGACTCCACCTGACGTATCTGACAGCGCGGGACTTACGCTACTTGCCGGATGCTCTACGCGAATTTCTGCTGAGGACGATCTGACCTCGCCATTGCCAAAAATAAGATTCAACATAGGGGAGTTAAGCTGTACACCCATGTACGCTGCCGTCATTGTGTCATCCTTAAAAATCGTGTCGTAGGGCATTAAGACATCTAAGATCGCCTTTTCTAGGGATGGCAGAACAACCGTTCTGGAATCCCAGTTAAAGACTTGCGGCTTATCATCTCCTTTCTTCCATTCCAGGTAGCCTCCCGGCTTGCCCGCGTCACCCTTTAGGGGAACCGCCGTCCCAGTCTGGGAAGTTGCACCTTTGTTTATGGTATCGATAAACTTTACCTCCATCGCTGCTCTCTCTTCGTGGGCATCTACATCCAGTTCGAAATATTGCTGATGGGCCGGTTGACTTAAGCGAATGGACTGTAGCTGCCCGCCGGGCTGGGGCGCACGATCCAGTAAGCATAGCATGGTATCTTTTGCTATATTTTCCAATCTGATGACCTCGAGACGGCGAGCTTGAGCTGCGGCATCAGTCCATGGCGCGTGGACTTCAAGGTCCGGCCAGGCGGTTACAATTGCCGAGCGGAGTAGGAAGCCGTACACAGGGAGCTGGGGCGGATAGTTAGCAATTTGTGGATCGATGGGTGTGCTTAAATACGTTTTCAGCATTTCTTTTATTTGCGTGCGGACTTGATCATCCGGGTCCATATGATTTGCGATACTCAATGCGCCGTCGATCAAAGCGTCTGTCCAATTCCGATCGATATAAAAGAAGCGCAAGCTTTCTTTGCCCAAAAAGGCAGGGTCAGGTATCAAGTAGTGTGCGGGTATATTGTGTAGGTAGAGCTTATCAAGCAGCCAGGTGAGGATAAGCGACCAATCGCTGGAGTTCGGGGGACCATTATGTTCATTGAACAGTGTTTGTGATCGAGTAGAGCATGTTTTACCAGATGATTCTTGAGATGTGGCAAATAGGAGGAGTGGAGGCGAAGAGCAGCATGACCTTTGGGCATGGGTGCAACAACAGGGCTGTTCGTACCATTGCCCGATGAAGCCTGTGCTAATGGTCTATACCACCTCCTCAGATGGTCCGGTCCATTCTTCCCAATGGTATCGTTGTGCAGTCCCTTCAAGCCTTCAACGGCGTGCTGCAATGCTTCAAAATTATCCATCTTTCCTTTGTAGGTCCCCAGACGCAAACCGATTTCGTTCTTCACGGCCTTCTGAGCAGCACTGTGCAAAGAGGAGCGGAGTCGCATTAGCGCAGCGGAAAAGGCCTGGTCGGCTATTGCAAGCGTACGCCCCAGCTGCCATGCTGCACTATAAGTGATGTCCATAACGCCAAGTTTGGTATCCAAAATTTGAAGATCGGTGGAAAAGAATGAATGCGTTGGCCAGGTGGGTGTCAGGGGACACGGCACCAACGTAGGTGTTAACGGCCCTCGCATGAAGGCGATAGTCTCGTCTCCGGATGCGAGGCGATACCTGAGAAGAGTGTACCCGTCGTTTAGCCGATCTTTGATTAGAGGGCTTGCGCGATCCATGGAGTTACGAAGCAGCCCGTAGCCACCCTTAGCTTCGTCTCCGAGGTTGACCATGAGCTGATGGAAATTTATACTTTGCGGAGGGAGACAAGTGTAATTCCAGCTGTACAAACTGATTACAGCAACCCTGCTCACAGCTGTCGAATTAATAGGCAAAGTTATGTTGTCCTCCCAACCCTCCAAGGAAAGGAGGTGTACTGCACAGCTTGTCGGCTTGTCGAGAGACAACGGGCCCGTACGGTGAGACACGACGATCGAAAATGTGCCGTTATCCGAGGAAAGACCCGACGACGCAGTGTATTTTGTGTTAACATTACGCGAATGGGCAAGATGTTGGTAGCGATCCAAGTTGGGCTTTGAACTTGCCGGGGAGGAAGATACGAGAGCGGTGAAAAGATTCGGGTCGAGGAATATTACGTCTAACTTTGTGGATGGATCGATGGTGCTGTCATTTGCAGGAAGAGGATGGACGATATCCTGCGTCGCGCGGAGCTGCGAGATTGTCATGTTGATACTCATTGTGCTGGATTGCTTGGGTGTGACGTCGGACGGGAAGGTGATCAATGGCGGTGTGGTCGCCAGCGGCAGCTGCAGCTCACTAGTTTCAAAGACAACTAACGCGAGCCAGGGCGTGCGATTCCGCTCTTTGCCTGCCTCTGTAGGAACAGCATTTACACTGGGCTGTCGTTCCCACGGCAAGTGGGGATCAGTCAAAACGACGTGTGGGAGTATTGTACCATAATCCGCATGTCCGTTTGGAGGATATTGCGAGTGGATTTGTGTGGTTGCATCAAGCGTAAACCTGGGAGCGACCACCTCAAATGTTTGCGTACTCTTGAGCAACTTTTGCTGGGAATCGGCTTCGATGACTTGAGTTACGTCGATCTTGTAGGGAATAGGTGAAGACAGGAGTGCCGGAGCGTAGAAGCTATGCAACTGCATCTGACCCGGAGGAAGTTCTGGGAGTCTGTCCCCGTCATCATCATTAGCACCACCATTTGCCCCCTTCTTGAGAAGGAATTTAGTTCGAATATGGCGGTGGATACGTTGTCTCGCTGGACGATCGAGCATCGTTTGCAGCGTTCACTTGCAGTGGTAAATCCAAACTGAACGTAAAAAGAGCTCAGTGGACCAAGCTGCCTATGAATTAACGATGAGATCCCGAAACCTAGGCTCCTTGCAAAAAGCCCTCATAATGTTTTTTTTTTTTTTTCCTTCTCCATTGTCACCCGCCAAGCTCGTTAACCACTCCCTGCTACTCCCCTGTCCTGATTGCAAGCGAAACCTGGGCAGCTTTTTGGGGCTGATTACTTCGCGCGCAGGACCGAATGGCCAGGGGTTATGCACGCGAACCTTTCATGTGGGCAATCACCCCCTGCTGAAGGGTGGGGATTATGAAGCAGGTTGCGCTCCTTCTTGTAGCTGGATACCTTAAACAGTACTTCAAACCCACAGCGACCTCTTCTCGTTCGCATGTAAATCACCTCTGACAAAGCCGCTTGCAAAAAGTGTCATTGTTGCTGCCTATTCTGCAATGACCACAAGCGACAACCCTACTGTGTGTGTTCCGGTGAAACTCGATGCATTCGTGCTTAATCCTAGTGTTTGCTCAGGACCGTCTAAAATCGCCCCAATCACTCAACCAAACTACACCTTCCTCCGTCTCGACCGTAACATTTCGGTGATCCAGCCGGATATTCTCGATCATGTTGATCTCCATGCAACATCCCCCGAAGTAAATAACCGAATAAGGAATGTGGCCACAAAAGAACTTCGGAGATCGAGGTTTGGGGTTTATTTGCATTGGATGTTGCCGAGGTACAAGTTCTTCTTTACTTTGCTCGAGGATTTACTGTATTAACCAAGACTTTTCTCTGTTACAGGGTCTACCGATCTGGGATTGCAGCAACGTCCAGTGCCAACGAATTCGAACAGAGGCGGCAACAAGAAGGCTTCTCCAAAGTCGAGAATAACGCTGACTACTCTACCCCCAATTTCAGGCCTGTTCCCACACGTTGGCTTATTGTGCGAGTCCTAAAGTCCAAGGTACCAGCAAACGCCAACATTCCCAACTACCAAGCGTTTGTCATTGAATCCGATCGCCTGCGCAACATTGATGATTTAGACGCCAGCGTTGACTTGGAGGTTGATGTATCTCCGTTCCTATGCGCAACCAATGCAGAGAAAGACGACACAGCCATTGACACTCAGGCAGAGATATTTATCGGCTTAAAGACGCACGCTGAGGGATGGAGTGAGAAGGGGGACACTGCCGCTCGAGTGCCATTGTCCATATTGCATAGCAGCAATTCTCTATTTCCAGACTACCAGCCTCACAACTCGAACGTCTTTTCAATGCTCGATAACTTTGAATATGATTCCACCGATCCTGCTACTGGCACGATTACAAAGGCGTACCTTACTCAAGCAGAGGCAAGCTACTATGTTTTGGGCTGGCACCCGAAGCCTGAGGACGACCCTTTCAACATGCAGCCCACAGCGCAGCAAACCCATGCAGCACGATTGGACGCTTGCATGATGTCTCTCGGTCTACCATCCTCCGCACCCCAACCGTCCTGGTTAGAAGAGACCGGCTCGGCTCGGATACTCTGCCACGGAGCAATGTATAATGTCTCGTTTTCCGTTGATGCAAAACCTGCGCATGTACCCGCCGACGACGCAGCAACCCATTTTTCCACAATGCCCGTGTCATTGGGGACGACACCTCTTGATGCCCTGTACGCATTGATTGACTCTTATGAGCAGAGCAAGGACGCAGACATGCCAAAGCCGATAGCGGATGATTTCAAAAGGGTGGAAAGGTTACTCCGCAAAACAGAGGACGATTTAGATTCACAGATACAAGCTGAGGACCTGCTGTATAGTAACAACTTCACGCATTCCCCCGGGGGCAGCCAGTGGCATCTGTCGGGTGACGACGGGGCGGGCATGAAATCTCCCATTGCACCTCCTACAGAGGTACTGACCAAGCTTCGCGATCTGAATGCCATGCAGTTGGTTGTCGACATTTGTAGTCAGGAGAGGAAGTTGCTACAGTGGAGGCTGTGGAGTGAGTGGTGGAAGGTCATCAGCGACACTAATCACGTCCTGGACCAGCAAAAGTTTAAAGATCTATCCACTCGGATTGATGCACTTACGAAGCAAATAACGAATTCCACCCAGCTCATAAACACTTCAATCAAGAACGCACAAACTGAATTTCAAGGGAGGATGCCGCAGCAGGGGGCGAGCCCCCGGTATTTCTCACAGCGAGATCCGACGCTATTGATTTCTGGTATTAAATCTGGATGGCCCGTTGATTATTTGGACAAGCTGCGGGTGCGATTGGACATACATGTGATTACAGCTAGCACACCTGGTGTGAGCCAACCCCCGCCAGCGGAGTTCAGCGCTTGGGCGGACAGCATATCGGCTAAACTCCCCAAGGAGCTAGCCGCAGCTACCAAGAACTTGTTTTCAGAGTTTTGGATATTGCAAGACCGTACCCCTTCCGATAGCGACCCGTTGTTAAGTTCATACCCTCTCTATCATGACAAGGAAGGACGGGATTCATGGCAAGGCACCCAGCCATGGTTCCCGCTCTTTGCAGAATGGGAGGTGGAGTACTATCATATTGATTACACAAAATGGGAGCTGAAAGCCGTCGGTTCAGATCCTGTTACAAAGATTAAGTATGTGTTGAAAGACGGGGAGAAGCTCGAAGACACGAACGTGAGGACCATTTCAGGGAGGGTGCTGCTGTTACCACAGGCGAGTTTAAGCTTGGAGACCAAGGTGAACAATCTCTTCAAGAACACCTTTCAGCCAGATCTGCAGAAAATCATCTCTGCAGAAGACCAGAAGGCCCTTTTGGCAGACCTACGGGCACGAGATTTCCTATCATCTCCACTATCGGGATTTCGGGATCACCTTGTGACCAGGCTACAGGGTACGCACATTAAACCCAATGTACGGCCACCAGGAGAGAGTGTCAGACCTATGGCCGCCGTCATCAAGGCCACTCAGGACCGACTCAAGGCAACTGACGATTATTCAAAGACCCTCCTGTGCCAGATGGACACCGAAACCACAACAACACCTTATGCCGCTGCATATGATTTTGGGTTGTCAGAGTATCATCCATTCAAACCTGCCGCACATGGACAATTCCGATTTACCAAGCTGAACATAATTGACAAGTTCGGGCAAGCGATTTGCGCTTTCGACCCAACTGGCCAGACCAAACCGTCGTTGTATCCGTGCTTGAGCGAATTCTATTGTCCTCAACCAGATCCCAACTCTCCTGATATGGCTACGCCTTTTCCAAGAACAGTCAAGGGTTCTAGTGGTACCAGTTGTGAATTCGCACAGATGCCTCCGAATCTCAATCAGGATGCGCGGGTTAATGCTCACTTTATGGTTAGAGACTCTCAAACGAAAGAGTGGCGCCCTACTACAGAGTACGAAAATCCGATATGGGGCTGGCTCATCGTGAATTATGTCGACCGCGGTTTACAGATCTTCCTACCAGACGGGACATTTTACACCGAGGTTCGGTTGGGAGCAAGGAACGGCACCTCGACGGCACCCCGGTGGTTACCGTTCGAGCCGAGCACATCCGACCCTAAAAACATGCAGCAGCTAGACTACTTGGTTCAGAAGCTGGCGGATCCACAGTACCTGGATGGCTTTTTTAAAGTAGTCATAGATGCCCTTGACAACATGCCCCACGCGCCGAATCAGTACGCAGAGTATCTCTCTGCTATCATTGGCAAGCCTCTCGCTCTCGTCAACACGGGTTGGTCTATTGAATTGTCCAATCCACCACTTGAGAACCAGGCTACAATCATAAACAACAAAGCGAAATCAGAGCTGGCGCTACTCGACTACCAACTTCGGGTAAAGTTTGGCGACAAGGCTCGTGTCTACGATGGGTTGGTCGGTTACTTCAATGCGAGAAATGCTTCTGACGGGCCGGATTTTGAATTCTCGGAGATGTACACATACTTTGAAAAGTCTCCTACGGATCAAGGCCCTTTCAAATTGATTGGTGATAAGAATTATCCCATATTCAAGCCGTACTGGATCCCAGCGCCCGCCGCTTCCAGTAATTCTTCACCCAGCTGGGCTGAAGCGGCAAAAATCGGCTCAGAATTTATAGAACTGCACAACCAGCAGCTCACGGTCTTTGGTATGCTGATAGACCCGTTTACCGCGGTGCACGCCTACTCCGAAGTCCTCCCGATCCAATCGCTGCTCCTACCCCAATGGGCGCTCGAGAAAGCACTAAAGTCGATGACCGCCTTCTTCCACATGGGCCCATACATAATTCCAATGGATGTACCACCCTACGCGAAGGCGGTCGATGCAGAGCCAGCAACAACGAAGGGAATACCCTTTCCAGCCAGCAATGTGGCAAACTGGGAGTGGCTTCAACCATATGTTACGACCAAGGGCACAGATGCAAAACCAACGACCAACTTTTATCAGTTGGGAGTGGACTTTGTGGATGAGCGCCCGAGATTTGAGGCCGCGCCTTATACAGCCATTGAAGGATATCTGCGATTGAGAACGCCAATTGAAGCTCCGACATCATGAAAGATGGCTTAGCCGCGCGTCTGCAAAACCCGTGACTGTTACCATATTTGGATATATAGCGATATGTGGGCCTCTGCATCTTCAATGATGTTAATTAGATACCTCATCTTTAAACTGTACCCGGCGCTTTTGAACGTTGCTGCCAGTAGGCTCTTCAGACTTCCAATTTAAAGATGGATATACGACGCGGCCGTTGACACAGTTTGGGATTTTCAAACCGCAGAATCTATGCAGGTTCGCTGTAATAATGAGAACAAGCGAGCGTGTGAGGTGGATTAACGCTTTCCCCAAAAATAACAAGCCGCTGTCGAGAGTCCTCACCAGCACACTGTATGAAATCCATATTGGAGGGTTTGATACCGTTTCGCTTCTCGTGCACAGCTGCCAAAAAGATATTAATGAAACCAATTCAAAATCATGCCCATAACTGAAGACGAAATGGAAGGCTCACCAAGATTGTATTCAACAACCGCTTCTTGAATAGCAACTGCGAAACAAATGCAAAAGTATACAGAAAGCAAAGTGATGGTAAGCTGATGACTTTGCAAAAATCACCAAAGAATTTGGGTGACGCTCACCAAGACGCTGTAGATGTCCACCCTTTCCTTGGATGTTCCATCTGTTCTTAAGGGCAGCTGCCACCAGCCAAGTGCTAGAGTAAGTTTTAAAGTGAAAGACGTCTGTCAATGAAGGGTATTGAAGCGACTCACCAATATTTCTTTCTAGATACTTTTCTTCCCACACTGCAATAGATTTGAGCTTGTCATCGCGCTTTGAGATCTTTTCCACCACCTTCTCCAGCGGTTTCTTCAAATTGTGTTTCCACATGGTACCTCGAATGAAAGCTTGACACCAGCCTGGAAGGATTCCCCAAATAGCTCCAAGTGCTGCCGACACAAACCGTATACCTGGCAGTGCCAACATCCAGCCATCAGTCGACCGACGAGCGACCATTATTCGGCCACCAGTGGCCCGACGAGCGAACAATTTTCGGGTGGGGCTTCGAGGTCCGAATGGCCGCTTTTCCGCACGTAGTATATTTTCAAGCATCTCTTGTGCACACGTCTCGTCAGTCTGCACGCAACACTCTCATTTCAAAACGGGATTGCCATCGTCGGCTTTTTCTTTTGACACAGTTTCCCCTGCCTCCGATTTGCATTCGACAGGTTCCGATAAGCAGCTTTGGACGTTCATCTTTCTGAAGAGGTATGTAATGAAGTTGGATCATTTTTTATACTTACATTATGCATCTCAAAAATAGGAACTGTAGTGTGCCTTCTGTTGGTTTTCGTAAGAGCGTTGATACAGTGTACGATGCCACTAGGCCTAGGCATTCGCCCACCAGAAGTAGAATGCGCGTATTCTGAAATAGCGACAAGTCATATAAAGGGTCTGCAGACGTTCTATAAATGATGTCCCGTTCTGGTTTCCCTTTTTATCTCCCAAGTGTGTATTATTTGCTATTTTCTACGCATAATGTATCCACAGCCATCAGGATGAATTACTTGCGAGGCTGCAATCTTTCGATCTTGCTGGAAACTGAAAGTGTTTTCACCGACTATTCTTGTCGTAGTAGTGATCTAAAATAGTGCCATGCTTGTTTCCTCTCATTACTCTCCTCCGAAGTACTCTTGCCTGCACTCCAGCTGCCACAACAAGGCTAAGTAGGTGGAAACGGGGACCAGGATCTTGGCCGTGGATGCCACCGTGCACCAATAGGTTTGTATGCAATTCACCAATGGGGGACAAGTCATGATCTCTAAGATAATGCAACCAGTCAAGCATCAATTCCTTCTTGACTATGTTTAAGTACTACTTAATATCTCGCTAAATGTTGCTTGGGACTTGCAACCTGTCATCATATTTGTTTTCGTTTCCAAAATGGTCTGAGATAGCTATTTAGCCCCATTTCTCAGCAGCCAACAATATAATACAGCTTCCGTCCCAGGGTATCATAATTACAATATGTCACCGTCCCTTCCTAGTCAATACTAACTAATATCTGTTTCGCTAGTGAGATCTCGTCTGCACTCCCTGCAGGAGGTGGAGCGCCCGACGGGTATGGTTTGCACTTGTTGGTTGCTGGTTCTAGATATCTCAAGTGGGCCACGACGGGACCCCGGTTCACGGGCGGCAGCTCTACGGCGGCCATCACGTCAGATTCTATCTCATGCTGTAGGTATATCGACTGGGCATTGATAGTAAATCCCTTCACCCCAAGCTTCTGCAACATAGTTATGGGGACCGGCCTCAGATTGAGTATTCTATGACCGGGATCGCCTACCCTCAGATCCGGATTACTGCCCCGTAATACTGGAGCACAGCATGTGTGTTTTTCGTCAATGGGGGTATCCTCAGCAGTAAGAACTGCAAGAGTGATGGCTAATCGCAATGCCTTCTCCTGATCGGGGGGTAACTTTGCACCACGTGCCACAAGTTTTGCTGCATCGTCAACCTTCGTTGTGTCTTTTGCTATAAAGTCTCCGACATTTGCCTGAGCGGTGCGGCGCCCTGTTAAAGAAAATGTCGCAGCCGGCTCGCGCGCTAGCGTTACCCCACCCTGTTTCCCCACCTCGCTGGCCATTGATACAACCACAGATTCAGCGCCTAAGATGGTTGCGGCGCGCGTTCGTTTCTTCAGTGAAGTAACAATCATCATCACCCGGATGACACCATCGGTTATGGCAACTGACCAGTCAGACTCAGTCTCCACAAATTGAGTTGGCAGCCAGCTTTCGTTCTGAAAAATCCCCAGTTTGTTTGCATTTCTAATTACTGCAGTGTCCGCGCAGCTTTGACACAGTGCTTTACCACGTCCTGCTGGGCAAACTCTTAACGCAGCCTCCCGTAGCAGATCGACTTGCGAGAAATTGCTTGAAACAAAAAGCACCGAAGAACCGACCACAATAGCGCGCCAGAGTCTTCCTGTAAGCTCTTTGATTTTCCCAGTGGGACGTGATTGTGGAAGTGTAGGTCTTGGACATGCGGCTGAACTAGGACAGTCCCGAATATCTTTATGCGCCTGATACAATTGCTCGATGGCAATGCAGTCGGCTAACTCTGGGCGCCTTGTGACACCACAGAACTTTGTTCCCACATACCAGTAAGGAGTGGGAGGTCCCAGTGGGTCGAAACGTTGAGGTTCTTCGTCTTCTTTCTTCCGTGTCATGGGATCGTCAGGGTCCACCTTGCTGTGGCGAAAGCTGCAGTGATAAAGTCGTGGATCATCCCTGTGTACCATCAGGTGGTCATATCCCGCCCTCACCGCAACACGATCTGCTATGATGCCATCGAGATCTTCTTCGGATGTGTGGAGGTAGACGGACGGAATGAACGGGGGGAAGGGGAAGTAACTGGGCAACCTCGACTCCTCCAGAGCAATCCTTAGCAACAGTCCCGAAATATCCACAGGGGTGTCGAAAATAATGGTGACATTGATCGTAGCATCTTCCAACCTTGGAGCCCGGTACAGGTTAACTTGATAGGCCCAGTCCCACACACAGCTGAACTCTCCGGACCCGCTGACTGCGACCTTGTCATTCGTCAGCTGTGGTAAGAATTTTACAAATAAAAGTTCGCCCAGCACAGAGTCCGCTCCACCGCCGGCGATGCGTCTAATGGCGCTTCTCAGCATGGAGGTCGTGACACAAAACCCTGCATATGATTTGCCAGCATAGTCGCTCCCATTGACAGTCACATGAGTACCGAGAGCAAAGTTTCTAATGACGAATTGAAATTTGGAACTGTTGACCGCAGACAGCATAATATCGTAATTTTCTACTAAAAGAACGTTATAGACAGCAGCAAAGTTGTCCGAGATGATGTCAAACCACTTTCGCTTCGATCTCAACATGTTGAGCGGGTTAGCGATTGCCAGTGCTGCGTTTGTTACTTCCGTGATGAAGTCGGCAATGAAGTCGCTCAGTACAACACCATCGTCGTCTTTTAGTAGCCGCTTCAAGGCGTGCCAGTAAAGTATATAAGGGTATCGGAGGTGCTTTTCCTCGACGTGGACCCGCATTCCACGGCAGACGTAGTATATCTCAAACCCCTTCCTCACCCTCCAAAGAATACCAGATCTCCTTCCGACGCTCCCCGCCGCGCGCATCAGCTTGGCTCTGACAGAAGACATGGGCCCATTTCCATTCGGTATGGAGAGTATCCTGGCGCTGTCTAGACCCATGGCGAACAAGGCATCTGTGTAAAAGCCTAACGCTGAGTTTGCCGCAAATACGACAGCATCCCAAAAGGGTATCCGGCGGACGTGAGATACGATATAAGGAAGGGACAAGTCGCGGGCAACGGGCAGGTACTCGTTTTGCGGTTCTACATCGTCGGATGCGGAGCTTTCGTCCTTTTGAAACGATTTCCCTGATTTCGAGTCATTTGGTCGGTCCTTTCCTCTATCCTTCAATTTATTAATCATGTCTAATCAGTGCGGCGCTCTTTTCTTTTGATTAAGGTCGAGCTTGTCAACTAGTGCTGAATGAGAGCGAGAAAGCCAATCTGCAACTGGCAGTCATCTCCCCCCGACGAGAGACAAGTCAAAGCCTGCTATCGAGGAACGCGGGGCTATGTGGCTTAGCTAGCGATGCCATCAGCAATTTGCCAGCAACAGAAGATTTCGTACCGCTTGTTGCATTGGGTTAAAGCCCATGAAAGCGCATGTTCCATACAGCAGCTCTACTGTAGGCAGCTCTGGTTGGAAGGACACCACAATCAGAAAGCTGTCTCCGGTCTGCCATTGAACATATCCTGTACATGGTTTGGCAGAACCATGATTTATCCAGACATCCTCCCTCTAAATGCAGCCAACACAAAGTACTGCCATATCAGACTACTGTTATGCTAATGCTTCCATTCATCCATTTTCTTTCAACTGATAAGATCGATCTGACTTTGGAGTATGCCATGCTTGGCTTTCCGTAGCATTGAGGCTTTGGCGTCATGCTGCTCTGGGCAAGATACGCATTCGACAAATGCGGGAGGGGACAATGTGAGTGTGTCTGAGTGTTTGGATAGAACAGACACAGGTGACAATGGGGCGACGCCAAGCAATACCATCAATGATGAAAACCCTGTGTTCTATCCGTACACGATACAATTGTAGTGATCCCAGCGTGCAGGACAGACAGTCTATCCAATCCACCTCTGCTGTCCTTTGCACAATATTCTAAGGACGGTTACTATTCGATTTGTGTTAATTGAGAACTGCGTCTAAATCACCAACATCTTGGTACGCATTCCTGCGCGAGTGCACCCCGCCGGAAAAAAAAACAAACGGATGAATGCCATCCGCATCTCATGCCACCGCGCTGACGTATATAACAATAACTGAACGTATGAAATGGAGGGCTGGAAGTCGTAACCGTTTTGTCATACTATTCATTTTTGTTTGGACGAACGAGGGTTGTAATGTCCCTAATTAATGGCAAAGTGACAAAAAGCGAGAATCATTGATTTCAGCCGCAGCGCCAAAATCCCAGCCTACCAGACAAAGCCAAGATCCCAATGGGAAGCAAACAGCTGGTTTGGGACCGGAGACACCAAACGAAGCACCCCAGAGGGAGGCGGGGGGGATTGTGTTCAAAGGTCACTTTAGTGTGCCCCATTTCCTTTTCGTGTTTCCAGCCGAGTGACCAGTACCTTTAAATAGATCCGTCCTATGTGTTTTAAATGAAACAAAGGTCCAATCGGGATTTGGTAGGGCAAAGATGGTTTAAGCTCAGCAAGTGACTTGTTACAAGGGACAGTGCGGCATTCACCATTTGAATTCCACGGCAAACTGTATTTTGTTTCTTTTTTTGAAAAATAGTGGTATTTTGCTAGAATGTTTGTAGGTGGATTTGCCCAAACTCTTGGTACTGGCGGCTATTTTCAACAAACAAAACCTTTCACCTCGAAACCTCCCCCAGACGCTCACACAAGCCTAGGTCTGTGCGCCTTTTTTTGTTTGCATTTTCAGATTTAGACGAATGCTTAAAAATGCTGATCCCATTGTTCTGACGTGTAAAGCGCAATAAAAACGTAGGGTGGTAGACAAGTTCCTCTTTTTCATTTTGATTATCTGGTTGGACTATAAGTTACTTTATATCTCCCATATATTTCCTCGTCATCACTTCACCTATCTCACAAACCTCACCATGTTGGATGCCATCACGCAACGAATTGCTGGCACATACCTCTCTGGCATGGGGGTAGCCTTTGTGGTATGCGCCACGGTGACCTGGTGCCGAAAGTACAGCAGGAACCGAAACAAACTCTTACAATTGGCAGCACTTGCCATTGCACTTGTTTTCAATATCCTCATGCCCATTGTCGCGATGGATCTACTGAAGACGCGGTACACCCTGCAGCGCACCACTGTCGCCGCATTCTTTGCTACCTGGTTCAGCGCCATTTCGCAGTACATTTACAACTACTTTATGATGATACGATTACTGTCCATCATAGAAGGACGAAAACCCCTTGTGAGGATGACGATCTACGTGGTAACGGCAGCCATCACCATAGCGTATCTTCTCGGCGATGCTGTCAGCTTTTATGCCCTTTCTCAGTCGAAAATGAGCATTGTCCTTTACACAAACAACAAGTACTTTAATGACATCGGCAAGGCAGCGCAAACGGCAGGAACCCTTTTATACACTGTGATGCTGGCGGTCACAGATCTGCTTCTCCTATCCAAAATCACTGGACTCCGACAGACACTCACGGTTGGCAAAAGTAAACGGAAATCACAGCGTCACGGGGTGCAAATGGCCATCCTTCTCATCGGCATTGCAGGAAAGGTCACTGAAGCCGTACTCAAGATCCTTAGTGTCTCGACAACGTATATGAGTCTCGACTCGTACTTCCGTGGTACGAATATGGCTATCGAGATCTGGACGCTCGTTGAACTTGGTGTGACGATTCAAGAGGTCATGTCATCAAAAACCGACTCTGCAACTAGTGAAAGCAAACCCACCAATAATAACAAATCTGAACATGGAACTAGTGGTCGTCCTGGTCATACCCTCGCTACTGGCGTAACAAGCGCTGAATCTAATTTGTAAAGTCGATCTTTACAAGCATATAGATGCATTATTGTAATAGTTGACAGTAGGAAAGGGGTTGTTTATCAAGTGTATTAAGAATGCAATACTCATTGACTAGACTCCTGCACACAAGGCACATTCTCTAGTTGTCTCTTTTTGATGCGATGAGCCTATCTGTTTTGGTTCCAGCTGCCAGGCAAGCACCGGCTTATTCACACAATGCAACGGATGTTGATAAAGAGATTTTAGCCAAAAAGGTATTAAAAACGTTGGCCATCCAATTACAAAAAAACCGATAATGGTCTCCCAATAAGTAGGCGATTTAACGATATAGTGTGGGGTAACTTTCTGCTGAGCTTTTTGGCTGCGCAATCTTCTGTGGCTGTGCCATCGGAGAGCTCCGACTTCCAACTCGTGGGCCGCCCAACGGGGTGACGCTGTGTAGGGTTGAGATGCTCTTCATTGCTAGACGGCTCTGTAGCTCCCCAAGTCGCCTGGCAGCTTTCAACATTCACACGCGCCAGCTGACGAGGTCGTCTTTCTCCCTTTTGTTTTCGTGTTCAGGACGCAACATGACTTCGACGAAGGCAAGCAACCTTCACGCTCACAATATGTACGAGAACGTGAACGCAACCCCGGAAAACCCCCGCATAGTTTACCCTTACGCCGAACGAAACAAGGACCCTATTCTAGAGACGATATCTCCGTACCTTCAGCGGGCCACGCGAGGTATGTTTTTGCATCTGCACATGTGTTGCCTTCGTGGGTCGTAACATGAAGCCCGATCTGGCGTTCTTAGTCCTAGAGCTCGCATCGGGATCAGGACAACACGTCGTTCATTGGGCACAAGCCTACCCTTCTGTCCATTTTCAACCCTCCGAGATCGACGATCCTTCTCTTTTGGCATCGATAAGGAGCTACGTTAAGGATTTTGCGAACGTTGCTCCGCCACTTTTATTGAACGCGATGCAAGATGAACACTGGTCCCAAGCACGCTCTCTCGTAGCCCAAGAAGGGGCTTTCGATATGGTGTACATGGGCAACGTGCTCCACATTGCTCCGTGGGATGTTACCTTGGCAGTGGCAAAAAACATACCAACCTTGCTGCCAAACGAGCAGGGTCTGTTCATAATATACGGCCCGTTCAAACGCGATGGCAAGTTCACGACTCCAAGCAATGAAGAGGTAGCACGCTTTTCCTAGTGATTCATTTGTCTTTCGGTAGGAAACTAAAACGGATAACCTTAGTTCGACCAAAAGTTGCGCCTCAGAAATGCTGACTGGGGACTTCGCGACATCGCCGACGTCGCCGACCAGTTTGCAAAGTTTGGGTTGTCATTGCAGGAAATCAAAGATATGCCTGCTAACAACTTTATTCTTGTTTTCCGCAAGATGGAGAATTAGGATTAGACAGTTTGACTTTACGGATGTTTCTTATATTACATTACCCAGTCCGCTGAGGGCAATCTTATCACATTATCACAGGTCGTGCTATTAGTTAGTCTAGGATAGCCTGTAGCGTTATGACACCAGCACGTACTACAGCTAGTAATCCTAAACGAAGTAATCTACCAAACCCTCTACTACTTGGGCGTCGACACCCGGTGGGCAGGATTCCGCCCTGCAGAACGGTACACTTCATTCAACCGTTCCAAAGCGGGCAACTATTGCAAGAACACAAACCATCTGCATGGCATTCACCGAGGTCGGCTGGCTCAGTTAATACAGTGTTGCGTGGAGGTCAGTGAGATGGGCGGCTCTGAATATGCGAGCTTATTATGGTCGTGCAGGTTGTGGGGGTAATGGGACGTATCGTGAGCGCAGTATGTTACATAGATATCCTGAGACGAGGCTGCCATTATCCGAGTGCTTGCTGGGCGCGAGGAGGAAAGGTTGAAGGATATTCACCTACAACTTGAGTGAGCAGATATAGTTGTAATATGTGTAAGATAAGTAATTGGATATTTTAATTGGTATCTCGTCCAATATCGCATTAGACCTAAAATAAATATACTCTAGCTAACGTCGGTGCACACAGCAGCTTGGACCGCTCTTAGGCTCGGAAGTATGAGCCAAACTGTTAATTCGTTGTCAAGCTTCCGCCAACTATCATGGCACCGTACCGAAATTATGAATGGAGATGCATGCGTCAAGAGTTGATGAATGCGCCCGCTATGGAAAAGCAGCAAATTGTAGCATGCTTTTTGGTCACCAATTGGTAGCCTATGCTTGACGTACTTACAATCATCTCCAAGTTGGCGAGATTTTTCGCTATCCTCCAGAAAATTCAGTTGATTCCTACAGGTATCAAGTCACCTAGGTCACCGTCTCTCTGAGAAAGGAGCTTGACGCCGATCCTATCAAGGTGTATTGAAACTCTAAAATACGCCGTCATCGAGAGAGCCGCTTAGGCTCGCCAACTGCTGTTACGGTTGACAGCAACTTTGTGGTGGACGCTTCAAAAGTAGTGCTTGTGGAACCCGCCAATCTTTTCCGGAATTCTCAAGGGGAAATCTTTCGCTGCAGAAGTCGCCCTGGAAACCGAATTCTCGTAGCGTCGTCTGCTGTCCTTCCTGCCAGCGTTCTCCCAGCATTCAGGCCCTTCCCCTTGGTGTCAACCCTTAGTCCAAACCCACCGTTGGATGTAACAGCGGGAGGATCAAGGGAGTTTTAGATGCCCTCACTCCGCCCTCAAATAAGTTCATGAACAGATCTTTCCTGGTTGCTCTTTGAAGATGCAAAGAGTCTACCCTAGACGAAAGCGAAAGCTATTATACAGACGACCTGGTTATGCGCAGAGCAGACTGTCGCTTGAAGAAGCTTTACCGTCGAATGATTGATGGAGGTATGGATAGCAACATTGCGGGGATCCTTTCGTCACCGTCCTACAAAGTACGGTGGGAAATGGAGCAAAGTGCAATTGGCTAATTGACGAAATGGTTACTTCACATCTGGACCTCGATCATTACACGGATATTCAGGTAGCCAGATTTACAACGTTTAGTCGCCATGCTCGCGATATCCAATCTCAACACTTTTCTGCTCGTAGCACTTGATGCTGAGCGCGGATTTGGGAAACCCCAGGCTCCGCTGTATGTGAATGAGTGGTTACCCAGGGTCTTACCCAGGGTTCTCGCAATGCTGTCACCGCAAGTCCTCTTTCCTACTGTCACTGTGTCCAATTATTAATGATCGTGCTGATCTGGATTACATAGCCTCGGGTAATACTCCATTCCAGACGCTACTGGCCCACTCAGCAAGGAAAAACAAGCTCCTCATCTCGAAACTAGAAGATCGGACTTCATCCAACGGGCGTCCAGCGCCGGAGCGACGCCCGTGCGGGCAGGCCGTATCCAAGCAGCCTCATTCTCAGGTTTGAAATGTTATGACAGGAGATTCTTGTGACCAACACGGGAGGCTCTTGCGGCTCTTTACAAAACCAAGTACTTTTCCGCTACGGCGTCGAGCCCCTGGGTCTACATCAGCGGTTTACCAAAGGCTTGTGGAAGGATGATGAGGATCTGCTATCTGCCAACGGACAATGAATATTGCGCGACACCAGATGATCTGGCTAGTGACTTCCTCGTTGCGGATGAGTTTGTCCCAGTCTTCACTCGGCCGCGGAACTCTTCTCATTTCGGAAATTGCCCAATAACCCAAACCAAAATCCTACGGGGCCGTTGGATTTGAGGAGAGGTACTTTGTCGCCGACAAGCTGGTCCAGCCCATCGCAAGCGTAAGCAGTAATTAACAGCAAGATTGGGTGTCCAGGACCCGCAACAAACTGCAGGTGCACAGTGGCATTGTTGTTTGGAAAGTTCAGCACGGAATGCCATAGTCTTTCTAACCCTATTTGTCGCCGTTGTCTTTTCTCCCTGATTGAACGGTATCCGGTTGCAGGGCCAATTGCTTTTTTTTATTGAAAGATGCTGATCATTCCTTCCCCATTGATCTCACGAATCTTCAACCAATCTGCCCCTACCTGGAGAGGTGTCCCATTTCGCAAATAGAATTAGGCAGGCAGCCGAATCGCGCGTCCGTCATCTCCCTGGTCAAATATTGACCGCATCATCTCAGCGAACCTCACTGGGAACCGTCGAATTTCCAGAAATGCTCGCCCTGGTCAGAAACGGCCATGGAATCCCGGGCCCCAGAATCCTGGAACATCTATTCTCTGAGCACGCCACTGAAAGCCTCGGAATCCGAGAACCTTTATTCCATGAACGCAGCACAGCAAGGATTAAACCTATTCCTAACCCTTCATCATAATATGATGAGATTTCCTGTTAGTACGGAAATGGGGAAAATTCCGAGCCTCTTTCCTATCGCTTGCAAAGCAATGACCCTGTCTCGGCCACTTTTAAGTCCATGCTTAAAGATCCTCGAGCCTTCAGTCCTTCCCTCCCGAGATTTGAAGCTACCAACTGCATCCTGATGTCAGCGTGGTTGGCAGTCTTCGAGTGATATGTTGTGATCTGCGTGCAAAGGCTGCTCTGTCACCGCTGGCTTGGACGTTTGTCCAGCATATTGCTTATGTTACCTCCTGGGCTGGTCGGAATGAATGGCATCAATGGTTGCGGAAACAAAAAAGGGCGGTGAAAAATATGATTTGGACGACTCTCCAGATCTGAAGACGAACAGCAACAAGAAGAAAAGGAGGAGGAGGAGCAAGAAGAGGAAGATTTTGAACTGTAAAATGACCACATTTCTTCTCTTCCCTGAAGAGTGTCTGCGCAAGTTATCGAAAAAAAAGGTTATTTGTGTAATCCGTAGCGGTCTACGGTAACTCCTCGGTCGCTTACGATATGTTCGGTGATGGCAGATCCCAATCCCATCTCACACCACAAATGGTTGTGACCTATATCCTGTGCCAAATTTGGTCACCTGCAATGAAAGCGGTTCCCTTTTCCCTAGAGCTGGTAAAGGGGTGTGGGCAGTCTTCGAGAACTGTGAATTTCATTTGACCAGGCGGGGTCTTCACAGGACCTGCATTTGGATCTCCTGGGTCTGGTTACTTCCCCTTTGAGAAGGTCACAAGTTAATTGTCTATTGATGGTCTTACGCACTCGAAGGATGTTTCTGATCCCAAGAATGCCTTTCGAAACGTGGCTCTGAATAATACCTCAACTCGCTCAACAAAGGTCGTGAAGCGAAGCATATGGAAATATCAGTTATTTTCTCGATTACATGAGTTGTAGTGTTTTCATGCCGGTATCAACGAACGGACCGCAAACCTCGGTGCAACTGTTCAGATTGCTGCCCATGTCAGTTGACATACATTTCTTGGATTCTGCCGCGGACTCAACCTTCCCCTCAATTTCCCGTGGGCCACGATGACAGACAAGACGGGGCCTTTGTACGCCGCTGCTCGCCCGGGCGCATGGATGTGGTACGCTTCATCTAGGACCAAAACATGTTTTCGAATCCATGTCATGCGCTTAGACAGAGGTACCCTGGGAGGTCCATCCAGATTGCAGATTTGGCGATGGAGCATGTCGGCGCCCAAGTGGATCCCTTCTTCTTCTTCAGGCGTTAGGTAACAGAGTACAATCCTCTATAAAAGTCTTGTACATCTCCCGCTTATATGCGATTCTTCTTTAGTTGAAGCAGCTTTGCATGGGCAGGCAGCAATCGAGAGTTACTTTCTTGAAATAGGTGCCAATGTCGACGGTTCGTGCGAAGGATACTCTGCGCTCGCGAGCGAAGAAGAACCTGCCATCTCAGGGGCCGGAAAAGGTGGACACATGGAGGTTATGCACATCCTGCTCGCCGCTGGTGCATTCATAATTCTGAGCCTGACTATTCGTCCAGAGCAGACAGCCATCCACTTGGCATGCTCTTCGAGTAACCCCGAAGCGATCCGTCTGATGAGACATTGGAAAACCCTTGCCTTTGAAGCACTTCAAGAAGCCAAATCACACGGAACACCGGCAGTGGAAGCATTGCTGGAAGGTTCTGATCGTCCGTTCCAGTTTTGCGACGGATCGCTCCTGATGCCGTCGCAGCAAACCATCCCGTCCATTTTTCGCAAAACAACGTCGGGGCTGTGGCATGCAGTCCATTCCGCCTGGGCGGACATTCTGGCGTTGGTCCTGGATACATGCCACGGCAATCTGGCAAAGGAGGGACCGGTTGCCAAAGGGTTGCAAATGACATCGTCCGAGCTTTTGGTGGGGAATGATTACTAGACGACGTACTCAAGAAGTTGTGGGGACGCATCGGTGAGCAGGGCAGGTGAAGGGGCAAAAAACATTTTGGATTAATTCTTAGCGGGCATAAATGGGGGCTAGTACCAATCGGCAGTAGTTACAGACGTAAAAGTTGAGCAATTAAAATACGGATTTTGACGGGGTCTTCATGTAGAATCAGAAGGATAAATGTCACGCCTCCTGCGTCGAAGAGGATAAAGCGGAAACCAAAAATCATTTTCTAAAGATAGAAAGAGATACAGGCTATAAGAAGCATCAACCCAAGGAACGTCTGCAGCTGCCACTTAGACTCCCGCGCATTTTCACCAAAGTATGGTTTTGAATGCGGGAGCTTGTTGTAGCCGCACAAACCCAGGAAGATAAAGCCCTAAGAATGCTCATTGGCTTTTCTGGAATGACATTGCATAAAGAAACGTGTTGGAGAACGGGCCGGCTGCACCACCTGAAGCCAATCAAAGCAGGGTTGACTGTCAAAGATGCTCTTATCAATTTCGCTTGGACCGTGAATGCTATCTCGTAAAGTCTCCGAGTCTTCGCAATGGTGTTGGGCGTGGAATCCAACGATACACTCTTCATGTTGCTAAGACGATGCTGCATCAGCATAAATAAGTCTGCAGAAGTCCATTCCGGATATTGGTAATGTTCTGAGGTGAGAGGAGACTGTCTGGCCAGAAGACTCAGTTTACAATCAGCGTGATACTGCTACGAGGTCAGAACAGGTCTAGTCACGGTTCCGGAGGAGCTGGAAAAGCACACCCAGCGAGAGAGTGGGGCGCATCGTCCGATTGTTAAAGTCCGCATGCTAATTCCCGATTCCGCGTTGGACGTAGGACTGACCTATTATGTATGTATAACTTTGACAGCAGTAGATGCCATTTCAGGCAACTTACATAACATCATATACGTCCCGTCCCGTGGACGGTGCTTCCAGGTTTGGGGTTCAAATCAGTTTAGTACTGGAAGCTTCAGTGCCGCCCAAGGCGACTTCCGTGGTAACAAAATCATCAGCGAGGTGAAGAGAGCCATTTCGAACATAATAGATCGGAAGCATAATAAGAATGAATAGTGATTGGTGGGAAAATAACCACTCTTATGCTTCTCGCTAAACAATCGCCAACAGTCAAAGGGGATGATAGTTCTCGGTTGAAGAACAACTTTGGCGATATGATATTGAAGCAGTAAGAATTGCAGCTGGAAGTTGCCTTGTGCCACCGTGCGAAGAGGCCAAAGTGCGCACGGACCTTACTCCGAACTGGACCTCTTTCTAGCAATTGGAAACTTGGTAGTTGGCACGGAGGATACGCCTTCTGTTTTTCGCATACATGGTTCCGAAATGCGCATACTTTTTTAAAGTGAAGCTATTAGTACGGAAACAGGGACAACCATGGGCTGCAGTACAATTTGATGAACCAACTCAGCATTCAGCAGCTTGATTATCGGAGCAAGCTCGAGACGTATTCGGAGAACAATGGTTTGTCGACGGCATGGTTAGGGTTAGGCATTTGGAGAAGGAAGGATGGATATATAGGAAGAGACGCTGGGCAGTTAAAAAGCAAGATGAATTGGAGGTTATGTCCCAAGCTCATCGGTAACCAGCGCGGTGGCATTGAATGCCGATGCAAACGAGAGGGTGGGATCGTTTGTTACCCAGATATCAAATAAGAGATCACAGAACAGAATGTCCATGACAAAACTGTTCAAAGCCTCCAGAGAAAATCATAAGAACCCAGATTCCATGCCGACTTTGAAATTGCAAGAGGCATTGTGGGGCTTCCGAAAAGCGGTAATCTCCGCTGGAGTCTTTAGAACTGAATCCATCAAGGCTTACGGGCCGCCGGCTTCATGGGGAACACTTTAGCAATTAGAATTGAAAAATAGGAAATTACATAAATAGGCGGTCGCACGTCCTGCATGTCCACGACCTGAGATCGGCTGGTAGCCTGCTCATCATCGGACATGGAGCATGGTATGTAAAATGGCATAAGCTGGTGACTGACAATGTCAAAGCTGTCTTTGCATATACATTGTTCAGCTAGCAGCTTACATGCAGTACCCATGATGTAACCCAAAGAATGAAAAGGAACTCTGTTGGGTACCGGGGCATCTTGACCTTTAGCGAGGTCGACAGAACCTCAATGCTAGTTGAGAGGTTCCATCCAGCGTTTCGGTCTAATCGACTGGGTGCAGCATGAACTCACTGGCATAAAAGGAAAGATGGACTTGCACGTAAGATTGCATATAGAGCAATCGTAAAACTACCAGTCTCCAACTTACTCAGCTTGTGTTTCTACCAAAATTGGAGCTCTTTGTGGTGTGGTGGACTTACATAGCAATGCCCAGACGGTGCTGATTCGAACAAACCTACCCGTTAAAAATCACAAACAATTTTGATGCAGTCTCCTCAATATCATTTTCCCTCTGTACTTCTCACACTGGAGTTCTATCCTTATTGGAACATTGGATAGCGTATAATTGTTATCAGTTGCAATCCTCCGTAGATATCTAGTTTTGAATGTGTAGAAGCACTGGATCCATTGATCTCGGTTAACTAATATCCTTCTATCCTTCTACCTTCTTTCAATAGTGTAGATCACTCTACCATAGTACTATCATATAACTAGGTGCAATTCTAGAGTAACTCTCCTGTCCAGACACATGATCACTTTCAGGAACTAGGAGAGGTTGTTGCAATCTGCTGACAGAGCTGTTCAAGTACGTCCTTTGGTAAATTTTGGGCCAATCTAGGGTCATCCTCTTAAAGCTCCGCGGCCGTCATTTGTTTTGTTTTCTTATTGACATCGACTCCAGTATCTAAAAGAATTTTGATGCTTTCTGCATGCACTGGTTCATCCTCATTCACGGCCGCTAACTCCAGAGCAAGACCCAGCGCCGATGGCCCTTCCAACAGATATCAGCTTTGTATTTATGCAACAAGAGCGGTAAAAGGTCTGGCCGACGACTGGACACAGCTTTGCGAAGAGGGTACCCTTCCGGAATAAGGAACATAGGGCCTTGCTTAATGTCTTCATTCAAAGGTTCGCGGTACAATTCAGACATAAAGAAAGGGTGATCACCAGAGTTGAGCAATGCTTCCACGACTTCCCTCCCCCCCCTTATCGCCATCCCAAGACTTGCATACGTCACTTTTGCACCCCGCTGTCTGATGCTACAGACGACCTCAATGTTCGCTGAGGTACATGCAAGAGTCAACGGTTTGTGCTGTGGAATTGTTGTCGGCTCGACATCTGCGCCAGCATCCAGCAATATAGAAACTGCTTCAGCCCGACCGCACCGCGCAGCTTCACGAAGCGCCCATTCATTATACTCGTCGACGCGCACCCCAGCTGCAAGAAGTATTCGTATAACATCAGTATGCCCAGCTTCCGCCGCCCCTGCCAAAGCCGTAAGCTTGGGCTCCCTTTCAGATGAGAATGTATGAAATGCAACATGTCCTGCATAGGAACGGTTGACTACGGCACCCTTCTCCAGCAGGTAAGTGGTAACCACCCCATGCCCATGCATCGCCGCTTCTACTAGCGCCTGATCCGTCCAGTTGGTCATTTCCATATGACGTAGAGGCGGACCTGGTCCAAGATGCACGTCCGCTCCCCATTTCTCGATCAGAGCCTCAACAAGCCTAATATGGCTATATCGCGCTGCAAGCTGCAACGGCGACCGACAATACATATGATCAATGTCGAGAAAACTATCAACCTGAGCACCATGTTCTATCGCGAATTTCGCAATCTCGAGTGAACGGCCCACGGCAGCTCCGGCTAAAGCATGATTGGGATCCACCACGGATACGTTTTGATCAAAGATAAATTTTACAGTATCGTAGCGTCCGGTAACAGCGGCGACATATAATGCACCACCATGCTTGTCATTGTCGAATTTGCACACATCAAGGGAGAAGCCCTGCTTGCTACAGAAGCGCAAAAAGTCGTGCCAGCCTAACCGGGCAGCGTTCTCCATAGCCGCACAGTAGTTGTCCTTAAAAACATAAAATCCTCACGCTTCGTACGAGTAGAGTTTTCCTGCACGTGCTGAAAGAAATATTCTGCTATTTCCATATGCCCTGCTCCAAGAGCTGCGTTCAAACAGTCACAGTAACTGCGTATATCTGTGAATAAATTGTTTAACAGACCATTTAATAGATGGAGAACCTTACTCTCTGACTCACTATAGCGCGAATATATGGAAAAGCAGCCGAGATCGAGGAGATCTTGATGTAAATTCTGCGATGACGAAATTTCATGGTGAAATGCAAACATGAGCGCGAATTCATTGATTTTCCGCACCTTCACCAGCTCTAGACACCCACTCTCTGCACCGGCGCTGAGAGTAAAGGTTGGATTCACGGAAAACCCCCCATATGTACACGACTGAATCCGCCACAGACCCGCCTTACGCAGCTCGAAAAGGATATCTACCAGAACGGTTCGAAATGCGCAACGCAACTTTTCTTCGATAACGTCCCTTGGTGACTCAGGCCAATCCTCGTAATATATTTCCGGTTCGGAATCATTGTCCACGTCTTCTTCATATTGGGAGAAGGGGATTCCACGCGAAATCAGCCACTGGCGCCACTCTTTACGGCCAGCGCTCGAACGCCATTTCTCACGACCAGCATCTGAGATAACATAGGAAATGCACCGAACAAAAGCGCCCACAAGAAGAGACAAAGGGAGCTTTTCATTCAGTGAACGACAAACGGCGCGAACACGGGCAATAGTTGCAAAGTCTGGACATAGCTGATCGCTTCGCGGTAGGACGATTGCGGCCAAGGTCTCTGGAGGCAAGCACTGAAGACTGGGGCTCTCTTGAGAAGCCAAGGCACGGGGGGGTGGAGATTGCATTTGCGGAGAACAGGTCCTAGCTCCTGGTTAACAAGATAGCAACTTGGCCGTACTGTCGACACAGCGTTGGAAACACCAATGGTAAGTTCTGACTTGCTGATGCTGGATATGTAGAAGAATTCCGGGTGTGAGCGAATATGGCAGCTGGCCCATGGAAATATGTCCACCCATCCACCTAACTCATCGGATGCATACTTACAGGTCTGGAATTCGTTTCAGTAAACATTGCGTAAAGTGTTGAAATGTGCAGATTGGTTGGGCGAAAGAAGGTCAGTGGAATTCTTGAATTTTGACGTGCAGCACACTTTGATAAGCACTTCGAGTGGCTTAGTACATGAGGATCTGTCATCTAACTTTCTTATTCTATGCAGAGCACCATTATCGGTGGCTATCATAACTGCTGGTCTATTTCCAATTTATGGTTCAATGCATATCAAGAATGGTGCCATCTTTGGTATGGATGTATGGACGATCGAATGATGAAATCGCGGGCAGCACGCAAGCTCCAGGTTGGATGCCAGCGGGAGCGATTGTTGTGTATGACAATGGGTCAACTGTAATCGCAGGATCTGCTGCCGTTTGCCTTGAGTGCCGAGTTGAGAACTTGAACCAGTTAAGATTAGACCGCAGGGCCCGAATCTCATCTATTGGTAAGAGAGCACAAGGAGGTAAGCACGTATAGCACAAGTGCCTAATTCGATAGTACTGCTTACAGTTGCAGAACGTGCTTCTCGTACTTCCGGTGTTAATCAATTCATCCAGCAGCGCATCGGACTTTTGTAAATCCTAATTACCTTGGTCAGCACAGCAATAGGCTCAATACGCTGTGGGCGCTATCCTCGACCCACATTTGTCAAATAGATTGCTATCGGATTGCCGCTACTACGCTCTCTTGCGCTTTGAGTATCCAATAGATATAACTGGGGCGAGGGTGTAGCTTTTGTCCTCTTCTCGGTTCGGCATCGGGAGACTTGCCTGATATTACATAAGTTTTGCTGATAGTACTGTATATATCGTTCTGGCGCAAACTCCAAGTCATGGTTCGGGACATCATCGTCTAGTTCGCAGAATTCATCATCACGCTTCCACCTCGTAGTCCGGCCTTTGTTGTCCATAAAGGCCCCTGGACTTTTCCTTTTTCCCAGAGAAATACTTGGTATCATATAAATTCGAAAGGGCCTCTCGCGTCGGCCTCAATATCGCCCTGTTGTAATTATTCAACGAAGAGAACGGTGGAGCTTTCTTAGGGTTAGGATATGTAAATGTATTTGTATAGTAGACTTAGTTTTACAAGCTGTAGCCTTGCGCATGTATACACATCGCAACAGTGACCTGCATTAACGTTCCCCGCCCGCACCAGCAGTGGGTTTTACATTGCCTGCGGGCTGCAAACGGAAATAAATAATTAGCGCTTTTGCATCATGCGACGGGCGGTCACCGATTACTTTTTGTTCTCGCCTTCTGAAGTGCCTGACGAATACGTTGCATGTTAGGCTGGTGATCAAGAGTTTCTTTTCATTACCCATTTCAGCTGCCCACATCAGTCAGCGGGAACCGTCTCTCCATCTACAGACACTGTAGGCAACTTTCCCAAGCACATGCTGCAGATTTGGTGTTAAAAAATGAGCAGACGAAGAGTCCATCGTTTGCAGGCTTGGTCTTGTTTACGACAAGGGCAATGTTGAATCAAAGGCCGCCTCAACTAGGCTCTTTCACTCAATGAATTTTACATAAGCAGACAAAGGCCGAAAGAGTCCCTTGCCCTGTAATTGAATCACAAATAGTGCCATTTTCCTTCCATCTTGATGGCCGCTGGCATTGGCTTCGTTTGGGGGAGAAATGTTGAATGGCTTATCAAATGTCCGAAAACCATGTCCTGTTTTACGGTAACATGCCAGTTACTCCTACAAGCGCTGATACGATCCAACCTTCAGCGGTCTATCCATGCGCCGATTAGCTCAGCCATAGAATAGACAAGTGCACTCCAGGTGTCCGATGGTGTTTATTTTTATCTACATCCACGAGACTTTTGCCAAGGTCACTTCCATTGTAATGACTTGCACCGGCGTCACTCTGCTGTATGCGCCGTCAGCACGTCATCGCGCTGTTGAAAAGATGATGGTAAATGGAGAAGCACGAACAACCGTGTCCATTTCTGAA